TACATAGGTTAGCTATGCAGAGTTATTTAGAATTCTTAAGTCCTGACTTATAGATTTATGGAAAGCCAGTTTCTCTGGGGGCGAGGGTTAAGAGAGAGAAAAAGCAGAATTGGTTTCGTTTCCGAGCTGTGACGCAGTAAGAAAACTCCGATGTTACAGTTTCTCAGGCATTAACAAAGTTATGCCGCTTGAGATCATTCCTTTTCGTCAGCTTTCACAGAGCAAATTTGATATTTTACTTGCTGTGGCTTGGCAGCAGATCGTTAATCTCTGTTCTGCAGTCAGATAATAAATCTCAATACCTCCCCTCTCCGAGCAGCTAACTCACCATCATGGCGACTTCACGAGACAGATTGCATGTAGGAAGGGAACTCTTCCAAAAAACAGACTGCCATCTGAGATTCGGTGGTTCCAAAGCCCCCACTTGCTAACAAGTCCCACTCTCCTGTGGGAACTTGCCCCCCTTCTACGGGGGGGGGGTTCTCTGACTCAGAGTAAACCCAGGGGAATCCAGAGCCCTGGAATTTCCCCTGTTCTCGCTGCCCGTTGCTCCGCCTAATTTCTTTAAGTTATACTTGAATGATTTAAAAACTGCCTCCACCAGTATGTTAAGATGACACACATTACTTCAGATGGTCACAGTTATAAAGGGCAGAGGTGGCTTACTGGCTTTTCCATCACTTACACTAGTAGATCAACAAACATGTCAGTGAGTAAGTAAACCAACTGTAACTGTCTAATAGGCATGTGCATTCTGTTCCTGCCAGTTATATGATGATGGTACATGATCACATGACAATTTTAAATAATTATTTAACAATAACTATGTGGCACCAAGTTGATTGAGATTTATGAAAGCCTTTCCAGGACTTTCTAGGTATAATTGTGCATTCATCGTTAGGGAAATCCTCTATGGTTAGGTAACAAAATAACAAACAAAGAAAAAACTGGAAGGATGAAGTCAGGGCACAAAGAATGCAAATATTTGAAATTAATCTTCAGAAGAACCATCAGTGAAAAAGTACATTTTTCCATGTATAATACACCCCCATATATAAGACCCCCCACTTTTCTAACGCAAAATTAAAACATCTAAGCAGGGCTTAGCAAGTGAAGGGGGAAAGGGATCAATGCAATCCTGCGGCTGCACAATCACTTTGATCCCTTTCCCCCTCATGCAGCTGTGGGATTGCTTTGATCCCTTTCCCCCTCCTTTTGCTAAGCCTCATGAGGCTTAGTAAGTGGAGGGAAAAGCAGGAATCAAAGTGATCCTTTGGAGGGGGAAAGCAGGGATCAAAGTGAGCGGAGGAGGAAAGCAGGGATCAAAGCGCTGCAGGATCGCTTTGATCCCTTTTCCCCTCCACATGTTTTTGTTCTCTCCTCAGCTTACTTCCATGTACTGTATAAGATGATTGGAAAAATATGGTATTTGCAGCTCAGATCCATAGGATCCTTCCTCCACAGGCAATAGCTCTGATTCTAAATATAAGCTAATGCATGCACTCTGGTGGTACGGAAAGGATAGTCATGTTTTCTGTGAGCCATTTAGACTCTGGTGTTATTTTTAGACTCTAAAGGTTAACCATGAAGTGGGTTAACAGTGGAGAGATTGATTATTGCTAGGAACTGGAGAACAGTTTATAATTTCCAACTGAGTAACTGGTGTAGGGAAATTTGGGACACAGCTATAAATGATAAGCTTACATATAATATAAACTTACATATAATATAAGCTTACATATGATATAAAGATTAAGAAGTAGGCAACAGACAGAGATGAATCTGTAGATACATGAGAAGTTATTGGTTTTGCATTAATAAAGAAGAAGGAGCAAGAGTCAATTCAATTAATTGAGTAACTGGTATAGGGAAATTTGGGACACAGCTATAAATGATAAGCTTACATATAATATAAACTTACATATAATATAAGCTTACATATGATATAAAGATTAAGAAGTAGGCAACAGACAGAGATGAATCTGTAGATACATGAGAAGTTATTGGTTTTGCATTAATAAAGAAGAAGGAGCAAGAGTCAATTCAATTAGGAAGGGAGATGGGGCTCCACAAGAGCAAATGATACAGGTGGTTACTTCCAAATGGCCTCAATGGTGGTGGGATCAGTGGGTATTTAGGTATTGGTTTATTAGTTTTTTCTT